AAAAAAAAAAGGATGGAGGCACCTACTGATATTAGGTACTCTTACCTTCATTATTTTAGTTTTATGCCCATCAAGATATAGGGCAGGGACCGTATGTGCTTAGGTTGTCTAGTAGTGTAGTACTCCTTCCTGCATTCGATCAACGACGTCAGCAGAGTTACAAAAGAACTGGGGAATTCATTTGGAAGGTGTTGGATCAGTTAGTCGAAACACCTTATGGGACGACGACGCTTTTACAGCACTCTGAAAATTATAAAATTAGTTTTTCAGCACCATGAGCAAACTAGGTGAACTGTATTTTAGAGAGCTCACTTTCCTTTTGGTTGAGGTAGTTCGTGGGCACCACCAAGTAGCTTATTATTGATGAGCGTGCTCCCAGTCACCCGCTTCGTCAGCAGTCTGTTTTATGGGCTTCCCCTGGGCTTGGTAATTTGAATTCCAAAAGGATAAGTATTTCACTATTTTCACAAAAATCTAGAGACCTTATCCATCGGCAATGATTCCTTTAGAAGCCTTTTGGAGTGTCAGATAGTTTAAGAAGTGACCCTTTAATTAAAATTTTTCCCATTCAATACCGGCTGATTTTACCCTTTTTTGAACCCGCTCCGTTCGATACACCTTCAGTCGGAGTGAAGTTGCTGGTTTACCTGATTTTTTTCTCCATGGTATCCTAGCAGAGCCCAAATTTTTCTTCGAATATCATCGTTCAAAATCAGAGTCATCCATACGTTCACATAGGAGAAGAAACAGGTGAGCACCGGGAATACAGCCCTCAATGTCAATATTGGTCCTTCCTGAAAGTAGTTACTGTAACTGGTTATAACTCTAAAATATGCAAATGAAAAGGATGGAACCTAAACATCCCCATGGATGGATTTGATTCCAGAAATCTATGGAGGTACCCCACCCCCATCGGGAGACGAGAACTTTGTCCCTTGCTACAGAACCTTCTCTGGACACATGTATACGTTGTTTTTTCTGTTTATCCCCCGTAGTAAGACCCACCCAAATCACAAACCACGCCCTCTAGCAGTGCTGACAGAAGCGATTGAATGGCTGATCTTACATAATTATCAAACAACTAATGAATTAATGAACCACTGAGCAAAAATCGCTCAATAATTAAGCTTACATTTGTATACAACGAAAACAAGAATCCCATAATATTGTAGACGAAAACAAGCACAAAAGCTACGAACAATCCTAGCATTTGAAGGTAAAGACGACGTTCTCGTTTTATTGCCCTGGAAAATAGTCAGAAATTGAATTTGATCTTCAAAAGCGGGCGGTTATACCCCAAAAAAAACTGACGTGCTGTTGTCAAGTCGATTTCTCATCAAAAATCTCAATATAGCACCGTAGCATAGAGCACATTCAATGAATGTGACCGACACAAAAACCACAGCCATCGAGGTGGCAAGCTGAAAAGTAGCTCGGATGAGATTTGAGGTAAATAGAAAGTAAAGTAAATTATTCAGATGAAAAATTACTCATACCCAGATACTACCAGTTGCTTCTACCCATAGGGTTTACAGTTTTTCACTCACCGTTATATTAGCCTGATCTGCCATCACTTCGAGATTTTCTGGTGAAAGAAAAACGGCATGGGTAACAGCCACAAGGGGAACCGAGAAACATCCCGGGATTACCCATTGCAGAACTGGTAGAATCCATCGGTGAGAATTGTTGATTATCTGAATTCGGATAAATCATTAGCGAACTCAAAATGTATTGTAAACAACTGAAATCAATAAAATTAGGATAAGGAAAAATATTGAATTATCTTTTCATTTTATTTATCTATCTAATTTTTTTTTCGGGTCGAGGTGTGTAGTGGCAAGTGCCGCACTATATCACACGCACGGT